ATGCACAACTGCATCCTTCCCTGGATTCCTCAAACCCTTTAAAAAAATCAACCCAGAATCGCTGTATTTATAAAAAAAATGATTAAAAAGATTGGCTTAGTTGATGTATGGAGGGAATGCCACCCATTGGCTAAAGAGTTCACTTTTTTCTCTCACCCTCATGGAGTTTACTCAAGAATTGATTATTTTTTCCTATTTAGAGCAGACAGATACAGGGTTCTAGATTGTAGTATTGGTACTAGGGATGTGCCAGATCACTCTGGGGTATATTTGAAACTATATTTAGATTCTCATCCCAAGACAACAATATGGAGACTTAACACAGCTCTGTTGAATGATAACAAATTTGAGGAATTTATTAACAAGGAACTTATGGAATATATAGATTTTAATAAAAGCAATGAAATGTCCCCAAGTATATAATGGGATGCGGCAAAAGAAGTACTGTGTGGGAAAATCATAATGTGGGCATCAAGACCCCYATCTTCTACAGCRAATTGCTGCAATAAGAGCGGTTTTAAATACTAAACTCAATGATAAGGTGATACTTAAGCTCAAATATACAAAACAAACTTACTATGAAAATGGATCTCGGGCAAAAAAAATATTAGCCTGGCGATTAAAACAACAACAACTAGACAGATCCATCTATAAAATTAAAAAACCCATTTCCAACCAGATGTGTTTTTCACCTGACGAAATACATAAATCATTTGAAATATATTACAGGAAATTGTATAGTCAACCCAAACTAACAGAGCTTCCCTCAGTAAAGCAGTTTCTAGACTCAGTGGATCTCCCCTCAATTGGCGTGGAGCAAAATAAGTGGATATCTGCAGAAATAATACCAGCAGAGGTTGATAAAGCTATCTCAAAATTAAAAACAAGTAAGTCACCCGGTGGTGACGGATTACCAGCTGAATGGTACAAAACTTTTAGGAGACCTATAACACTGTTGCTGTTAAAATGTTTTAATCATGTCCTTAAAAGGAGGTGAGATTCCACCATCCTGGAAACAAGCGATAATATCCGTTATAACAAAACCAGGAAAGGACAAAAGTGAATGTAGCTCATACCGGCCCATTTCTGTCTTGAACATTGATTATAAAATATTCACTTCAATAATTGTCAGTAGACTAGAAAATATCATCCCCGAATTGATTGACACAGACCAGACAGGATTTGTTAAAAATAGATGTACACAGGATAATGTGAGGCGAACGTTACACTTGTTCAACATTATGAGCAGAAATAATTTAAAATCTTCAGCAATTAGTTTTGACGCTGAAAAAGCCTTTGATTCTGTAAGATGKGAATACTTATAWCTGGTTCTTCAGAGGTTTAGCTTTAACAACACAATCACAAGTTGCTTAAAATCAATAGTACAGTTCGCCAGTAGCAAGGATCAAATTAAATGGYGGCCTTTCAGGCACATTCCCACTGGAATGAGGATGCCRACAAGGATGCCCTCTGAGCCCAATTCTCTTTGCACKCTTTATAGAGCCACTTGCTCAAAAAATTAGGGAAGACCCAGAAATTAAGGGAATCATATTTAAGGGAAGAGAATACAAAACATGTCTATACGCCGATGATGTTCTGGTGACCTTATCTGACCCAGATGCCAGTCGACCTCAGCTCATGTCCTGCCTCCACCAATTTGGACTTTATTCAGGTTATAAATTAAATATTGGAAAAACTCAGACCCTCTGCTTTGATTACTCACCCCAAGAGGATATAAGCAATMAGTTCAAATTTAACTGGAAAACAAAAATCATGAAATATTTAGGTGTTAATATTACCAAAAATTTAAACAAAATATACAAAGTAAATTATGGTTCTATGACTAATAAAATAAAAAACAACTTGGACAGATGTGCCCCACTAACACTTGAGCTGTACAGTAGAATAGAAATATTAAAATGATCATTTTACCTCAACTGCTGTACCTATTTCAATCTTTATCAATAGAAATTCCTACCAAGCAGTTTAATGAGTGGAACCGGATTATCTCCAGGTTTATATGGCGAAATAARAAACCAAGGGTACGTTATAAAACGCTACAACTACCAAGGGACAAAGGAGGAATGTCTCACCCATGTTTGAAAAATTACTACAAAGCAGCACAACTGCAATTTGCGGTTCACTGGTGTGAAGAGGGGTATGAAGCAAAATGGAAAGATCTAGAATTAAGCCAAATCGACATCCCCCTGCAAGCCCTACTGGGGGATAAACATCTCAAGAACAAACATGCAGATGAGTTGTGTGT